AAAACAGAACTCATTTGGTGGTATATCTTCTACATTTGTCCACAAACCTTCAGTGAGTCCATCTGCTGTGCATCATAGCATTGCTAAAACACACATGCATTTACGTTCAAGTAGAAAGTAGTCCCCTTGAATCAATAGTGTTTGTTATTTATTCCTGCTGTCTTACTCTTTGTATTTTACTGCACCATTCGTAATGTTGCTGTGCTTGCACAAGGACAGTAAAGGGCTATTCTATTCTATTCTATTCTATTCTATTCTTCTCAATGGCCGCTTTTTGCAACTGCAAGTTTTGCACTGAGTGTCTGCAAAAACAGTCTTCTAAGATGAGTGCCGCCCTGCAGAGTCCTTCCTTCTGCCCACCTGACTCTCACTTGGACCTTTCTCAAAGGACTCCATCGGCTGTTGTTGTGTCAACGCTCGTGAACATCTTCCGATGGCTTTCTGGCATTCGAATCGTCTCAAGTCAATCGGAGCCTCAATTGGAACTGTCACCGCAAGAGCTGCGTTTGGCTTCAGCGCTTTGCGTGGTTGCTGACCTGAAGTGTATTTGCTGTTGTTGTCGTTCACGTGCTGTCAGTCACTCAATCACCTTTGGCCTCGGGACATTTTATCTGAACAGCAGAGGTGGAAAGACAAAAGTATTCTACTCCAGTAGAAGCACTATTACTCCAACATTAACCTCCTAAGACCCGAACTCTTTCATGGCATGCATTTTTAATTTCTCTTTGCTATTTGAGCTGATTGGGACCTGATGAGTGTAAAAACTAAGAATTACCAGATTTTTTTTTTTTTTATACATGATTTTTGTTTTGTGGAAAAATGAGATCCACAAATGAAGACATTCATTTTCAATTTCTAGAGAACAGTGGCAGTATAATGTCCTCATAAGTGGAAATCAGGCTCTTGTAGAGCAAAATTTAGCATTTTGGTCAAGACAACCCAAAATGTGTTGTCTACATATGTGGACGTCAGGTCCTAAGAGGTTAAGAACAATCAGTGCTCTTATAAATGGGCTTCAGCAAATGGAAAAAGTAGTTTAATTCAACTGTACTCAAAGTATTGCCTTTTTTAAACAGGATAAGTTGTGGGGGGAGAGCATGTGAATGTCAGATTGGTTGTTTGTGAATTTTATCAAAGGACTGGAAATTTCAGTGTAGGAACTCGGGAATACACGGCCATGCAGGACACTTGCAATACTTTGGAAGGTTATTTCAGTGCACGCAATCCCACAAAACTGGGTGTCACAAACCACACAAATGAGGCATCGACTGGATTCTGTAGAGCATCCTTCTTCTTTTTTTTTCTCCTTGCTTCGGAGAGCCGTGGCCGCGGGCTTGGTCTCAGTGCAGCAGCTAATCAGGAAAGCAGTGTCAGCTGGACTCGGCCTGTTTACAGGAAGCAGACACAAAGAGACGTTGGCAGATGTCACGCACAAATATGTGCTGAACGTGTGGCAGAGTGTGGAAATTGTGACCGTTTCACACGAGTATCAAACAAATAAGTAAGCGTCGGAGGCTCAGGCACTGCTTTGCCCTCCTCATTGCCACGTCACGCTTTGACACTCAGACGTTGACGCTGAAGTCTTCGCCCGTCTCCTGTAGGATTCACTAAACAGCTCAGCATGTGTACGCTGCATTCACAGAGACCGGACTGAGATGTGACGCTGAAGTCTTCTTTGCCCGAATGGGGACTGGCTGTATTTGGGTCTGGCAATGAGCTGCCATTGAGGATTCAGTGTGAATAAAAGTTCTCGAAAAGCAGCGTGTTCAGCCAGGGGAAATGGACAAAGACCCCCACCAATCAGGTTCATCATGAGCTTGCCAGCATCTGCCTGTGGCACACGTCTGAATGCTCTCGCTGCCATCACGTCGCTGGTGCCGTTTGCATGTGCAGGGGTTTCCAGTGGTACCAGGGCTCGCCTCCGTGTTGCTACAAAGTCATTTAAGCCGTCTGCTGGATGTCTACCCTGTGAATGCAATGTGTCCATCCCTGTGCAAATACACACACACACACACACACACACACACACACACACACACACACACACACACACACCCCGCGAGACCCAACCCTATCCCATCCGTGCGCCTTACGGGCTTTCCTC